GCAAAGAAGTCAGGCTTCAGCTGAGTCCAGTTTTATAAAAGAATCACTTCACTGGCTACTGAAATGCACCCACAAAACCCCAGGCAATGTGTATGTTGGCTCTCATGAGCTGAAGATGGTTGGGTGACCTCCAGGCAGAGAGAATTTGAATCCTGCTGGAATTGGTCTTTAGTCTAAACTTAATGGGTAGCATCCTTCCCTTTGAGTTACCTGGCTCTCGGAGGTGCTGTGGTTGTAGATCTTCTCTGGAAGACAGCCCTGCCAACCGCACAAACCTTTTCTGCGGGTGTAAGAGTGGAAACCCTTCCTTAAGCAGGGTTCAATTAATACTTGTGACATTAGAAAACTCTGTATGAATATGGAACATGGTCTGCGGGAGAAGCTAAACAGGAGCCTACTCAACCTATTGAGGAGAGGGCCCTTTGGGTCACCAGTTTGGAGGCATGTGCTTCCAGTTCCATTTTCTCTCTCTCTCTCTCTCTCATATGCCCTTGGGATGTGGAAGTGGCTTTAAAGACAACTATCTGACCCAAGGCAAAGTCTTCCAAGATTGGCTTCATTTTTTTGATTACAGCATTAATTGGCCGTAACTCTCCTGTTCAGCTCTGTGGCTCATCTCTTATCTTGTTAATAACATGTGGTGGAAAAGCTGTATGCATCCTTTATTGAAAGGATTTATTTAGTTGTGATCTCTGGAGCTCACCCTGGCATTCAAACAGACCGCTATTGAACCAAAGGAAGCTTTGAAGACTTGGTCATGTTGTCGCAGGCTGGTGGACATTTGCTTCATCCTTGAGTAGTTAATGGAACACAACTTAATTTTTTCCTCTCAGGGTCTGCAGTTAACCTGACTGTACAGGCACTCACATTGGTGAGGCTTTTGACAATCCACTGCGTCTAGCACACTGCAGGATAGTTGTGAAGTATGAATGTGTTACAAAAAACTGACATTTTTGGGTTTGTGTGTGAACAGCAGAAGCCAAATTTATACTATTCCTCATCCAGGACTACTTAGGTATCATCAAAGGGCTTATTCCTTCCTAGTTCCTCTTTAAGTAATGCCATAAAAATCCAGCACCTTATTTTATCAAGCATCTATCCCATGCTGATAGGACCCAAGGGTGGGGAAAAATGAAAGTCACTAGCACTCCAAAATACAGCGTTTATGCACAGTAGTGATGCATGCGGTGGGATTTCCAAATGGGGGAATCTTACTAACAAACAAAGGGTGAGTTTCCTATGGCCTTGTCTACATTCAAAGCTGCACCAGTTTAGTTAAAGTTCTGTTTCTAAAGCAATATGGACAAACTGATACAAAACCCTGTGTGGATACTTTCTGATTTTGATTTTATTTAACTTTTGGTTTTGCTGGTGGGTGCCCCAACCCGGCTCCGGTCCTTCCCCAAAGCCCTGCCCTCACTCTGCCCCCATCCCCTTAGGTCCTCTCCCCTGAGCATCTCCTGTCCACTGCTCACTCCTTTCTGCCTCCTCCTGCCTTGAAGGCGAGGGGTGGGTGTGTGTGTTGGCGGGGGCTCAGCCTTCCCTCAAAACTGGCAATTTTCTGCATATTTATACACTTCTTTCATATTCTGTTATTGAATGTCTATCATTGGCACCTTAACAATGTAAGGTTAAAATAGTATTTAAATATATCATTACATTATCATGAATAGATAAAATTATTAAAATAGTAATTAAATATATCATTACATTATCATGAATTACAGTATATTAAAATCATTACACTCAGCTACAAGCTGTCTTCACTAACATCCCCGTGTAAAAACATTGCATTCGCTCTGGGCTTCGCTCCTGCTTAGGGCCTGTTTGGGAGCTGAGGGCCACTGATGGCTGTGGGAAGAAGTGGATGGGAGGGACAAGCAGTGGAGAGTCTTTCTCCTCTCCTTTCCTCTCGCTCTCCCTCCCCCATTCCCTTTCTCTTGTTTCTTCTCTAAGTCCTTGCTCCCCTTCCTGATGTTTCCCCCTTCTTTCTTCCCACCCATGTCCCATCTCTCTCTGCTCCCTACCTCCTGGGGGCTCTGGCTAGTGGCTGCTCCCACCCACATACTCAAAGTGGCAGAGGAGGTTCCCCCTCCTTGGGTGGGAAGGTTGCCTAGTGGTTAAGGCACAGGGCTCAGGTGTTCTGGGTTTGATGCTCTGCTACTGACTCCCTGCTTAGCCTTGAGAAAGTTACTTCACCTCTGTGCGCCCTAGATCCCACCTGCCAACTGGGGCCAATACTGACCCTGCCTCCTAGGCTAAATCCATTCATAGCTGTGTGAGGATGGTGGAAATGGAGATGCCAATGTGGGTGGATTTGGGCTGAATTTCACCACAGCCTGAGTGAGAGCCAGCTCCGCACAGGGGGCAATGGGGGAGAGAGGGGCTCAGGCCAATTCTGCACCGAGGAGGGTCGGGGCTTCTGCCCTGCTGCTTCTGCCACGAGGGTGGCTGGGGCTCCTGAGCCAGGGACTTCAGCCCCACATCTTCTGCCATGGTCCAGGGCTCTTCTCTCTCTCCCCCACCCCACGTTGCTCCTGCTGGGCTCTGGGGCTTCTTCCTCTCCTCCCACCCACCCCCAGCGTTGCTCCTGCCGGGCTCCGAGGCTTCTCCTCTTTTCTCTCCCCCGCCCCCCACCGTGGTTCCTGCTGAGCACTATTTTTTTTCCCTGTGGATGCTCCAACCCTGGAGCACCCATGGAGTCGGCGCCTATGGCCAGAAGACTTTCCAAACAACTTGCCTGCTTTGGGACTGCCTGTGCCTTTATGTGGTGAGCTCTCTAGGGCAAAGGCTCACCATGTTGACTCTCATTCGATTTGCGATCCACTCCAACTCCCAGATCCTCTTCAGCAGGACTACCGCCTAGCCAGTGATTCCTCACTTTGTAATTGTGCTTTTGATTTTTTCCCCTTCCTAAGCGTAGTAGTTTGCATTTATAGTTATTGAATTTCATCTTGTTGATTTCAGAGCAATTCTCCCATTGCTCAGTCATGTTGAACTCTAATCCTGTTCTCCAAAGTGGTTGCAGCCCCTCTCAGCTTGCTGTTGCCTGCAAATTTTATAAGCGTGCTCTTGACTCCATTATCCAAGTCAATAATGAAACTATTGAATAGTATCGGACCCAGGACTGACCCCCTGCAAAGCCCCGCTAGAAACACCATCCCAGTTTGACAGTGAACCATTAATTATTATGCTTTGAGTACAGTCTTTCAACCAGTTATGCACCCACCTTATAGTAATTTCATCTAGAACACATTCCCCTGGTTTGCTTATGAGAACGTCATGGGGGACTGCTAAAAGCCTTAATAAAATCAAGATACATCACATCATCTGCTTCTCCCCTATCCATTAGGCCAGTATGCTAGCAAGAAAATATCAAGGTACACATCAAGATGCAGTGTTTACTGGGCTACCCATTCTGTTCCAGAAACCACTGGGAGTTATAGTGGATTAAGGGCAGATCTTACAGGTGGGAGTGGGGCACACATAGGATACACCTGCTCCCTCACAGCTGCAGGAGAAGAGATAGGAGCTGCAAGATTTCAAGCGCTGGCTGCAGGCACCTCATCTTCTTGGATCCATAGAGCAATCCTTTACCTGTCACTAAGCCTGCTTCCAGCTCTGGACCTACATCCTTTCCTAATCCACATTAAGTAGGAGTTCTCCCAGTTGTTGAGGGGGTCCCCTTTTTTACTCAAAAATATCCAACCCCATATCACACCCATAAAAAGCATAATGGGGGCAAAAACATGCACTTTCCTCTTTCTGTGTGTGGCAGACATCGCAAGCAGAGGAAAATGCATGATTTTTTCATTCTGCTCTGTAGCGGTGTGATGGTCACTGAGTGTGTGTGTGTGTGTGTTGTACATATAAATAAGATCAGCTGGTGGTGTGTGTGTGTTAAAGAGAGCTTAATTCCTTTTGTTTGCCTGATAACTCTGGCATAATTTTCCTTTGCATGGGCACTAGCTGCCTTTGGAGATCCATGTAACCTGAAGACTTTCCATTAAAAAGTGATCAAAGAGGCAATTAGAGGATCTGGCTTATTGCTTTTGTTATATCCTTAACTCCTCCAAAATGCTGCCTCCTCCTTGCTTTGTCACTTCCTCTCAGGGTAGGTTTTTTTTTGGTATGCTGCAGCTGAATGAGCTTTAGCCTTGTTCTATTTTTGTTGCTCATAAATACTTGGGCCAAATCCTGCCGTCCTTACTAGGCCAAAACTCTCACTGGAATCAGAGGGACAGGGGTTAGCCCATGTGGTCTTTTATTTTCTTCAGCAGCTGATCAGTCAGAGCTTCCCGGTTCTCTCTTCTGGCAATTGACGTCAGATTGGAGGAAACTGGCTGAGTCTCTCTCTATTGGTATTCAAATGGGGACTTGTGTTGTCTTCCCAGCGTAATAGAGTGGCAGTTAGGGTTCCTTGCTGGGACTTGGGAACTGTCAGCTGTATCATCACCTAGGGACAGCTAGTGATGCGTGTGAATTCAGGAGCGGGGGAAAATATAGCGGTGGCGAGGGGAGGTTTATGGGGGACGGCGCGCTGGAGGGGAGAGCTTGGTCAAACGGAAAGACATTTCAGCCCTAAACAAACCAAAATGTGAAAGTTCCCACTTCTTGAATGCTCCTCTTCTGAGGCTCTGCAATAGATACTCGGGTACATGATCCTTCCCTAAATCATCGTGAGGAATAGCACTGTTAATTCAGAAAGCTTTTTTAAAAGGACCACAAACCACTGGCTAGCTGCTTCCTGTCATTTCTGGGCTATCATTTTGTTGGTAATGAAGAAAAATTACTCGAGGATGCGGAGCTCTGCATCGGCTCTTCCATCACATCTACTGCCCAGCCACTCCGGGGAGGAGGAGTTGGTGGTGGCGGGGGGGAGCGTAAGGGATTCAAATCCCAGTGCGGCATGGAGTGACTTTTGGGGTGTGGGAGGGGAGGAATTGCTAATTTCTGACGGGAGTGGGTGGGATGGGGATCGTCGCAGATCTGCTGAATTCCTTAGGGGAGGAATCAGATCTGCTTTACGGAGAGGCAGGGGCGAAACCCGTTTGCGGACCTAATCCAAAATAGGGAGAAAGATCACCGTGTCTCGGGGCTCTACAGGTCTCTACCCTTGGGAGAGCCTCTTAAAAGTCTCTCCTGGTGAGGAAGTCTCCTGCTCTGGGTTTCAGCATGAGACCCTGGCATGATCTCCTTTGGAGGGAGGGCTGGGCCCGGGAGACAGTGTCGCTGCCGCATGCTTCCAAACGTTGTCCTTAGCCATTGCCTTTCCCCCGGCTGAGGGGCGCTCCTGAGATTCCCCTCCCCTGGAGAGGGGAGGCTGGGGTGGGAGAGGGAGTTGTAGGTATTTGTCTCTCAGGACACAGTTCTTGATCATCTTGATTTGGAGAGAGCGACACAGCGTCCCCTCATCCCAAACTGTCCCAGCCGCTGGGCGAGGGCAGCGCCTGCTGCTAACCTCTCCCTCCGGGGGCAGGAATTGTCCGCTGCGCCTTTAACGGGCGTCGTTACACCGGCGGCGGAGCTGCAGGAAGCTCGTGGTGCCCTGGCGGCTGCTCCCCTCCGGCTCCCGGCGCTGCAGCCTGAACCCCGGGAGAGGTGCCGCTAGAGGCAGCCGAAGGAAACAAATGTGGCCAAGGAGCGCAAGACGCCTCGTCTCCCTGTGCGCTAGGAGAGCTCCGGCGGCGAGCCGCTAGGGCGCAGCGGGCGTGGAGAGCGGCGGCCTCGGGCAGGTGCGGGACTCGGGGTACTCCGCGGCAGGAACCGAGGCGCCCGGGGAGATGGCGAAAGCCTCACGCCCAGGTGAGCTGCCCGGGGGGCGGGTTCGGCCGAGCGGGGAGGCGCAGCTCAGGCAGGTGGGGGGCAAGGAAACACCAAACTCCGGGAATGTCTGGCTGCAGCGGGAGGCTCCAGCGCCGGGGCGCTCTGTGCGCCCGAGCGCATGGGGTCCTTGCCCCACTGCGGCGCAGCGTGCGCGGTCTGCATGCTGGGGTCCCCCCAGCCGCGTGGGGAGGGCACTAGGGGCCGGGGTCTGTGACTCGGGGGCAGCGCTCCTGCTCGGACTGGCGCTTGTGGCTGGGGATGGTTTGGGTACATGCCTCCATGGTGCGAGCTCCTTGTTAGTTCGCCAGATGGTGGGCTCGCTTGAGGGGGGCTTGTGTTTTTCTCCTCTGCAGCGGGCGTTTGAATGGATCGCATTTCTCCCGGCTGTGGGGTGGGTGGGGGCAGCTGCGTGTCCAGTTCCTCCATTGCACGTCTCCAAATTGCGGTGCTCGGCCATTTGGTTCCCAGCCGTGGTTTTGCTGGAGTCAAGGCTCCAGGCACAGTTTTTTTATTGCACGACTGGCTCCCTTTGTAGCACGCACTCCCCCGCCCCCCTCCGGTTTTGCCTTGTCATATTGCCCCACTAAGACAAAAATCTCTTGCAAGCCACGCAGTGTTAACTTGCATGGTTTCTGGTAGCGTGCACCTTCTCCTGGGATCTAGCCAGCCATTACTTCCACATGCAGCTAGACTGATCATCCTCTCGTATACATAGAGCTATGAAGCCCTTTTCCAAGGTGCAAAGACAAACACAAACTTTTCCATGAATGGAAACGCCGCTTAATTTGCTCCTCTTTTTCCCAGCTAAGTTTATTTAGGCTCCCAGGAGGCTGTTTCCTTTTGATCGGTGCCTGTAGTATTTAGCTGAAAGCATCGCATGTGGTTTTCATTCATCTTTACACTTCATTGTTGAAAATCTTGAGCACGGCTTCTTTTTTTTGGGGGGGGGGGAAATCTGAGAGCGAGTGCAAGAACCAACAGCTATATCGCTTGAGACCCTATTTTTATTGTAGACCGGCTTCCTAAATGATTTCTGCTCCACCATGACTTCCTTTATTTTATACCCCCTCACTGAAAAGGGGGAAAGAGTGAACGAACTAGAAAGTAGAAGCAGCTTTTTGAAATGGGTTTTTAAGAGATCTGGAGGGAAACCCTGCTTTCTGAGAATAATACCACTTGATACAGTTTTATCATCAGTGAAACTGGTGCTTCTCCCCAAGTAGACTTACAAAGCTAACCCATTTGTTCAGAAAAGGCACTTGCAGGACAAAGTGCTGATTCCTTATCTGCCGAGAGGCAAAGGGATGGGACTGGTGTTGTGTGTGTTTTGGTTTTTGTCCATCTTGTAAATTTCATTTTTCTTCTCCCACCCTCCCATTGGATTTGATTACCCGTCTAATAGGTTTAGAAACATGCATGTACCACTAGATTGTGTTGCAGGGAGGGGTTTAGGAATGCTCCACTAGGTATCAGCTGCTGAAAATGAGTTGGGAAAGATCACTGAATTGAGAAAAGGCAGGTGGTGCAATGCACTTGATCATATGTATGGGCGAGTGATGCTGCCTTCTAGTGGTTTGCCAGCGGAGACAATAAGGAACCTATTAGGGCTACCAGGAAAAGTAGATTTCTTCTAGCTCCTGTGGAGAGGCCTGTGTGTTTGGAGGCAAAAGGCCTGACTTCACTTGGACTAAAAACTTGGCTTGCAGCAATGTCTGTGTGTGCCAGACTTGTCTGGTATTTGTGACCACTGTTGTCTGCAGATGGATTCGCTACAGAGGGGAGGACCACTTTTCTCCATCTCCGACTTGAAAAGGGACACTGTCGTGTTGATAAACACAAGCAAATGTCTTTAGCTTGGAGGAGACACATCACATTGGGCAGATGCAAACTGATGGCAGCCCTTGAGAAATGGTGCCCTTGAAACAGAGAACAGTAATAATCAACCAAAAGCAAACCTGCTATTAAACAAAACAAACTTTTTAAACCCAAAGGAGATAATTGTTTAAAAGAGTGGGAAAAAATCCAATTGACCTTCTCGTACATCGATTCGCATTTCTTTCTCCTTGCACAATGAAAATCGGGAAAGTCTTTCACTGGTGTTTGGGCTGCATGCACTGCAGGGATTTGCTTATTTGTTTAAACTCAGCTAGGTTTGCACAGCATTTTAAAAGATTATAAATGAAGGATATGTTTTTATTGATCTTAGAGTTTAAACAAAATATAACTTTTATGCCAGATTTAAGAGGCCGGTGCCCCCCTTTTTTTATTTTAAAGAGGCATTTAAAAATGAATAACCTATCCATAGGGACTGCTCCTCTCACAGGTAGCTCTGGAACAATGGAAATGAGCTACATTTTTAGAAATCTTACTGAGCCTATTGGTATGAACTGGAATTATGCAAATGTACCAAAATGTGTGTGTGACTTGCTTGTACTTCACCTGCATGGCAATCGCTGTTTCCTGGTGTCAAGCCATCTCAGATCTGAGACTTCATTGCAAACACATGGGAAATGACCTTTCCAAGGCCACTGCTTTCAATTCCTAGCATGGTAGGGGTTCAGGTCCACCCACTCATGCATTTGATCAGAATATCAACTTACATGTGAGATCATGATGGGAGGGAGAATGCGTTTTGGAGGGGCAGACTCAGTCTGTTGCTTGTCTAGGCTTCATCAGTAAAAGGTGTGATTTGATTTTTGTTTTTAATTGATCTGGCGTTCTGAGCTAGGGGTTGGTCCTTCAGATACTGAGCAATTGGAGTAAGGCCCTAATCCTGCAAATACTCAGGCATATGTCTCCACTGGGGCATGTGCTTAAGCATGTGCAGATTGGAGCCTATGATTTTCAGGCTGAGGGCCTGTGACTGCAGATAGCCCAACAGCAATCGCGGCATACTACCTGTTGTCTTCCCTTTCTACATCACTTTACAACATGCTGCAGTGACTCCGATGTTAGTGCCTACCCAGAAAGCCAAATACTTTGTTGTGAATGCTGGATACTTTAGAGATGGCGCAGACAGCCCATCCACAGTAGCTGCTGAATATTCTCTAACCTTTTCATATCGTATGGATTTGGGGAGAGAGTCGGAGGAGGCGGTGGTGCTGGCTGAGAAGATGGTGAACTTAATTCTACTGTTGGGGAGTCACTGTCTAAGGATTCAAGAAGTAGATCTAGGACATATTCCACATTTGAAAGAAACCATGGAAAAGTTCAGTCTTGATTTACAGCTTAGATTGTTGTCTCTCTACTCCCGCCCACCCCCGTGCCGCTAGTCAGTGACACCATAGGGTGCAAGAGCAAAAATGTCAATTGTTGCTTAAAATAGTAACTCAAAGGCAGATGTGGCTATTTTTGTTTTCTATACTTGTTCAGCAAATGTATGCTGGCCTGTTTACACCATCTGCTGCAAAATTGCCAGTTGAAGGAAGTATGGTAGATAACCAGGGACGTGTCATTGTTGAAATGCTATTAGAGGGAAAACATTGGGCCCAATGGGAAAAGACTGTCATAGCCCAAAATACTGAGAGTGGTGGTGGTGGTGGTGGTGAGGAACAGCTGCATCTTGCACTCTTTTGAGCCCTAGGTAGTGTTTTGTCACCATCCCTCTATATCCGTGGTTCTCAACCAGGGGTACATCAATTCATCTAGATATTTGCTTAGTGTTACGACAGGCTACATAAAGAACACTGGCAAAATCCGTACAAACTCAAATTTCATATAGACGTTGACTTGTTTTGTTCTGCTCTATATACTGAAATATAAGTACAATATTTTATATTCTCATTGGTTTATTTCATAATGACATGGTAAAAATGAGAGAGCACGCAATTTTTCAGTAATCGCGTGCTGTGACACTTGTATGTTATGTCTGATTTTCGTAAGTAAGTAGTTTTTTAAGTGAGGTGGAACTTGGGGTTATGCAAGACAAATCAGACTCCTGAAAGGGGTCCAGTAGTCTGGAAAGGTTGAGAGCCACTGCTTTACATGGTAGCCCTTCTGGCTGAGTCTGACCATCTTAATTTGTCTTATGCTCTCTACTGCCTTTGTAAGAGCCAACCATACTCTTGGCTTCAGCAGCAGTGTGCTCCCCTGGTTCTCATCTTAGATGACTTTCTTCAGATACTGCTGCTGCTCCTCCTCCTCTTCAGTTCCCCTTCCCAATCTGATGGCTGTCAAGGCTTGGTCCTTGATTTTTCTTAATCTGCTCCCTTGGCTTCAACTTCTACTTCTGTCCAGAAGATGGTTCCAAAGTCAACTCCTGTCCCTGACATCTCCTCCTATGTCTCTATCCCCTGATGTCTCCGTTGCATGTCCCAAGGCTTTTTTGAGCTCAGTCTTTCAAAAATGGGACTCATTACCTTTGCCATAACCACCTCCCCTCTGGTTTTCTCTCTCTCATTGCTGACAACTCTGCTAGTCTTCTGGACTTGGTGTCCTCTTCGACTCTTCCCTTCTTCTCCCACCTCCCCCAATATCCAGTCTCTCTCTCCAAACACTACCTCAGCATCCCCCAAACCCACGCTTCTGTCTTTACACCACCCCTCACCCCCCTTGTATGGACCGTGACCATCTCTTGGCTGGATTACTGTAACTTCCTTCCCAGTTTTCCCTATCTGCCATGGCTATGGTTCACATCCTTTTCTGTCACTGTGGCCATGTCATGTCCTCCTCTAATCACCTCCCTGAATTTGTCAGTCACTGTGTTGCATACAGGCTCCTTGTCCTAACTTTTAAATCCTTTCGAGATATTGCACAATGGATCCTTTCTGGCTTCCTCCCCTTTCCCCATTCAGCCTTGCCTCACTGCTTCTTTTGTCTCTTTCATACTCTTGGCTTCTTGTCCTTCATTCTGTTGCCTGCTATGCTAGGAACATTCTCCCACCTCTTGTCTGCCAAGCTCCCACTCCCTCTTGTCCTCTTTAAATTCCTTCTTTGTAAACCCCTACTTCCAGGAGATACTTCTTTCCTTTTGTCCTCCC